GGCCGCTTGATACCGGAATTTGACAAACGAAGGAGCATCAAGGACATGTTCACGCGCAGACCCAACAACGCCCCCCAGAGCTCCCCAACTAGTACCCCTACGCTTTCGCGTGCGGGTTCGGATCATGGAGAATCGAAAGCTGTTATCGAAAAGCTCCCAACGGAAGCAGTCGCCAACCACGCCATTCCCAAGAATGATCCCCAGCCAAAGGGAATTGTCCGTAAACGGTCCGAGAAGGGCGACTCCCCTGTTAAACGTTCCAAATCAGTAGCTGGCTTAGCACCCACTCCGGCGGTTGCTGGACAGAGAACGCTCAAGGGATTCTTCAAGCCGAAGAGTTCCCCAGCCACACAGAGCCGTGATGAACCAACGACCGACCATGAAATATGTGCCATGCCACAACTTGCATCCCCATCCAAGATGATTTCTTCGGCAGAGTCACAAGCAATAGACAAGGAGCAAGCTGCGGCGACCGTAACCACAGACTCCACAAAGGAAACCAATCCACCGGTGTCATCGACATCAGACACCCCGACAGATGATGACACATTCGTCGACCCAATTGCGAGCAAGGAAGATTGGTCGAAGCTATTTACCAAAAAGCGCGCACCCCTATGCGAAAGTCACCAGGAGCCATGCATTAGTTTGACAACCAAAAAGCCTGGCGTCAACTGTGGGCGATCCTTTTGGATTTGTCCTCGGCCTCTTGGACCCAGTGGCAACAAGGAGAAAGGTACACAATGGCGCTGTCCGACATTTATTTGGGCAAGTGATAGGAATTCTTCAATGTCGTAGGTAGCCACAGCAACAAATGAAACACAATCACAGATTATGTTTTGTATTTCCATCGTAAGGTAGTCATTGCTGTCTGTAATAACAACGTTCACCACCAACACAACCCGCGTTTGATGTAACAGACGCCGGGCAAGTTACCTAGTAAGAACTCCAGCTTACAACCCACACTCTTTTTGTTCCTCAGCTAAAATCATACTCGCATTGCACCCATAGCTACTTAATGAGTAATGACAATAAGTCTCGGCTGAGTATCTTGTGCCTCTAAGCAACAAGCCTCGCCAACTCATAGGACCCCTTCGTCTACCCACAACTGCAGTAAGAGACATTCTTAGATGGATTCCTCTCTGCTTGCCTGCTTCGTATCAATATGGGAACTGAATGCCTCTCTCCTTTCAGTCTGGCCAGTGAATGATCCTGCTCGAAACATTTCTGGTCCCCTCGAGAGACAGGCCCAGATCAAGTCTCCATAATACCGTTTATTTGTGGGTTCAGACATTTCTCAATGAAGTAACACTCAACCAGCCCCCTGTTTTGAGGTGTCTCCAGCCTGGTAACTTACTAGCCTTTTCATAGATACTACAGATCTTGCCCAATTTCCAATACTACTAGAATATTGCCACAATACGGGCCTTAGTTGGTGAGTTACAGAAATGCAGGGAGTGGGTGCTTAATTGTTGGCCCTAATGCTCATGTTCGCTCTCTATTGTAAGTTGACAGTGTGTGCTAGTGCTACGCATACTATCAAAGATGCATATATTATTCGGCTTTTTGGATAAACCTGTACTATCCGATAGACTTGTCTAAATATATTGTCATTGTGAAACATACATGCTCCTTAAATAAATATAGATATGGTTTCATCGCCGCCTGCTTTTATTTTATCCGAGAGGATGAAATAACCGAAAACAAGGTAGCTAGTAGAGTTTGGTGACATGATTCTAGGCCAGGTACATAGGGGTATAGTGTGGACGCGACAATTTCATATAAAGGACCTGTCGTGTCCTCTAATTTTCGTGCTGGCCGTTGAAGACCGTATAATAGATATAGAAAATGGGAGAAACAAAGGCGGAAAGTGAAAATATGCTTTCCCCTTTCAATAAAGATCGGAAATGAATTCGGAGAAGTTGACAGTTTCGCCAAGATGTCGGTCTGTTAAGTTGACATGGGTCGATGGAGAGGCGTACACTCCTGTTCCTTTTCCGATGTCTGTATGAACCTGCCCGATCAACGAACCCAATGTCTCCGTATCTAACTGGAAGTGATCGGCCGATAAAAGTGGTAGTTCGCTTGGCATTATGTCGCTGCATATCAATTCGCTGGGGTAAATTTCTGGCATATTGTATTCTGTAAAGATATTCATCGTCCCTTCAATTCCCATATCGTTTATCGGCCCATATGTGTCGATTGACGGACTTGTTGATATGGTGCTGGCCGTCGTGAGATCTGGAGACTTGTTCTCTACAGTCTGTTTGGAATTTCGGCGAGATGATGTTCGACGTTTCTTTTCCGATGGTTTACGTGGTGTGTATTGGTAGTCGGGATGAGCTTCTGCATGCTTCCGCTTCAACTCATCGGCCAGGGCTCTGAACTCGACCCTGATATCTTCGGATTCTGCCTTCCACTGTTTCCCTAGAATAACAGCTGGGGAAATTAGTCGATTATCCAACGTATGCACAGTAGTGGAAACTCACAAATCTCGTTATTTGAAAGATTCGGGTGAGCCTCTTTGAGCTTAGGATGATGATGTTGGCGGTACAGGATAAATGCATTTGGCGGACGAGGAACCTTAGCAGCCTTAACAGTAACAGAAGGCCGCTCATGCTTCTTCATATGTGCTGTGATTGATTCGCATGACACCTCATGGGATGCTACAGATATTGCTGTGCCTGAATACGCTGGAGTACGCATGACACGAACAGCGTTAATTGACTCATCGGCGAAAGCCACAACTGAAGCACCTATGAGAGCACTAATACCATATATGAGCACATAATTGATCAATTGTGGCTATAGCTGTCTTACCCAAGGCGAGTCTTGATCTTGTTAACATTGGTCTGGCCGATCATGTCGATGACATTTATTGGAAGTAGAACTTCGTTATTCGTGGACCCAAGATGGCGCAAGGCATCCTGCCAAAGTAGCTCTGTAAGCTTGTCGCTGGACTCAGTAGTTGGCTTCAGTGCTTGAGGTACAGAAGTCATCTTGGCATTTGATATAAAGGCAAGGAAAGACTCAAGGTATGAACAGATTAATCATGATCTTGAGCAGCGGTTATAGAGTCATGGGAGCAACTATGGGAAGGCATCAGAGATTTCAAGCATAGAAGTAATTCAGAGACAGTCTTCAATTATAAGATTCTCTCTGTATTAAAAGGTGCCCACATGTGTTAGACTTGACAGATGGAGCTGTGTCTAGGCGGTGGCGCCAGCGGGTACCATTCTTTGTTGACGTGAATTTAATAACGAAGCTATACGAGTTCTGTGTTTGGCTTCGAAGGCGCTTGTTGATTGTTTGTTTGCGCTAATACATACACACCACCAGTCAAACTTTCTATGTTAGTCTTCTTTCTTGACATCCATTCTACATTCCTGTCCTATCACTTTCTAGTACCGTTCATCTTCCTCCTCCTTGAACCTCTGAACACATTCGGTTCCAGAATCTAACAGTTCCTCTTTGTTCTTCACGATGAAGGTCAAGATTCATGCCCTACTGCACTATCTTGATGGTATAGCTGGCAATACTCTCCTTGCTGCTGAACTTCGCGAGAGAGCAGCATTTATCTCAGCTTCTTTCCTTGTCCACCAGAGTGTTGCTAGACTCATGGCGCATGTTACCGCATTGGCGAACGGTGAAGAATTGAATCTCCATTTCCATCAGGTATATGGCCCAAGCAAATCTGTTGATGTACCTGTCCGTCGTCACTGGAAACCTCTGAAGGCCATCATGGCCGACTATTGTGTTAATGCATCCGTTGCCGACATCGAAGGTCACCCCATCCAGCTTATAAGCATCCTTGACCCAACAATTGAAAAGTTGCTCCAAGGGGAAGACCTGTTTCAGTTCCACTATGCCCTTGTCCGTGCTGAGCAGATGGCAAACGAAGATCTCGCTCGGTTGGCAAAAGACTATGGTTACCATTATATCTTCAGAATTGGTCTTATGCAATATTACATGACGTGAGTTGAATGTTGATGTACACAAAGCGTCTTGAAATAAATGCTAATGATGCAGCAAAACTGTTGTCGAAAAAATCAATTTCTTCAAATCAGATTCTCGTGGCTACTCTTGTCCAATTGTTGTCCAGACTTGCTTGTACAATGCAATGGAGAAGCGTGTCAATTTGAGTGCCGCTGAAAAACAGCTCGTTTTGCATTCCGTTGATTGCCAGCCATGTGATGCACACAGATTCTGCAAGTATTAATCGTTTGCTGCTATAGACTATGCTAACAAATTAGGGGCGTGGTTGGAGTGCAACCGTGTTGCGTACAACGCGATGAACGCCTGTATTTCCCTACTGAATAAAATTGAGGGTAGTAAGTATCCGACCCTTTGTCCTGAATAATGCTAAATAAAATTGTATCAAGGGGCAGTCCTCTGATACCTGGTCATTGGTTCCCGGCATTCTTCGATACACAGTATGACACACGCCAAATCAACCACGGAATCATCCTGGAGTATCCGGGCCAAATAAGGACCTCGACGCCACTACAGCGAACAACTCAGTGGTCCGAAGATATATCTGACGTCACATCAAGCGACTGTCGGGGCTTAGCGACGCTCTGGTGAATTATCAGCTTGTCGTCTTATCACCGCATCCCAGACCGAAGTCCCGAAGAGATAGCTATCTGGACTGTGGCCTCAATCCACTCACTTCATGCATCTTAGAGTCGAAATTCTCATCACGGTATTATGTTACCGCGATTTTACAAAGATTACCTGTTTATATTTCTATACCCAGACCGTGTCACTGGGAAATATGGTTGAAAGGGAAAAACTCTATAAACTGGACGGTACATAAATGTTCATGTTAGGAGATAGATACACCAATACAAAATAAACTTCCACACAGCCACACGATGCAGCTAATAGGGCCTCCGCAACATAGTAGACGAGGATGCATCCAAGACAGGGGCGCCTGGACCAGGTCGATGTCCTGAACTTTGTATTCCATCCTCCACGAATGGCACGGAGGTACGGTGCAACTTTTAGCTGTTCAGCGTGATGATATCCGACCCTCCGAACTCCTCCGTGTCCGCCCATGAGTCCGACACATTTATCTCGGTAACTGAAGATGCAGATATAGCTATGAAGCCACAGGTTGAACATATGACTTTCCACCTCGCTGCACGGTTGCGAGCGACAACAAAGAAACAAGGCGGACGAGCCACGGGCGAGAAGGCACGACGCGGCGCCACCGGGACGGAAATGGACATGACCCCTCAGTTCGTCTGCCTTCATCGCCAACCAGCCGACTTTCTGCACGCGCGACTGACTTCCTCACGGACAAAGAGGCCAAGTCCCGCCATTGTGACCGACGGATGCGGACCGGAGCAGCAGTGGGGAAGTCCGTGTCCACTGTTCCAGGTCTAGAGGCGCCGGAAATCCCACTCCTTCAAGTCTAGCGATCAGCGACCAGGTGAGAATCTGTGGATCCACGAGTGCTGTTATGCTTCCACCATAGGCTGGGGACCCCAGGGGCTTGCTGCTGAGCTTCCCGGATGGCCATTAGTTGCCAAGTGCTGTTGCTTTCCATACCTCTGGGCCCGTGAACTGAACTTAGTCCTGCAGCATCAAAGATCCACTCTTCTGCAGTACTTTTGTTTTGAGCCTAAACCGCGGTTTCCCAAAGTCTTCGTTCAACCTCCTTGTCGGCCACCACTACAGCGGCGCCAATGACTGTCTCAGGTTTTCCATCGCCATCGACCAGTCAATATGACCTGTCTCCTCCATTTGGACTATGAATCGGTCTAGATTTCTATGCCAACGTGCGGAAATCTGGAATTAACAGTGCTGCCGTATTACCGTCCGGTATGCTTCAGCCAGTATGCAGAACACCTGTCAAACCTATCTGTGAAAGCCCCAGACTTGAAAGTTTTCGACCATCATTCCTACACTACCTTGATGGATGTATTACATTCGAAGTGGTATCAACATGTTTGACTTCTCGTGAGTGACCGTGATAGTCTTGACGTCTACACTCCGTTGTTCGAGCACACGATGGTCACTGGATAGCTAGGTAAGCCAAACCCCCTCCGCCGCATTGTATAGCATGACCTTCCCTAGTACTTGGGTCATGCTGCTGAATGATCTTAGTATTGTGTAATACTGGGGTTTGACCCCGATTGGCTTGAACCCCGACGGCTGTGGATTCCCTCCTATACTATACATCTGTATACAACCCTGAGATTCAGGCACAAGCTATTGGCTCTTGATCTAGACACGGGTTCCTTTGCGATCGCTGTTGCAAATGACCTCAAATATCATTCGCACTTGAAAGTACGATTTTATCATTGTATTGAATGTATTGGAATGATTTATTTAACTTACGCAATTTGTCACGAGTTTTGAGTAGATAGTATAGTTGATCTTATCTTATAGACCCAGAGGGCTCTAGTAGGACCGTAGAATAGAATTATTCTTACCAACAGCTTTCAAAACATCTACTCTACTGATTATACTATTCAAGTATCTAACAACTCGGAAGAACACATAAAAATGAGTAAGAATGATCTTTGCTTTCCATTTCTGCATCACATCTTACGATACGGTTGTCATATAGAGTGCAACGGGAGTCTCAGACCGGGGCGAACGAGGCAGTTGGAGCCAAATGCCTCTATGGTATCCGCAGTGAATGATGATCTGGATGTTTTGGTGCTGCCTCTGCTCCACCGAAAATCTCGTCTATGTGGCCTCTGTTTATAACACACTTCACTGACGCGCCATTCTGTTTACTCTTCATCTGTGAAATCATACTTCAACCTCTTAGTGATCACCTTGAAAAAAATCCAAAACTGGTACTCCATCTGCTTGAATTGCCTTGAAAGGATCATCGCAAGTCAACAAAATGCCTCAGTCTCGGAAAAAGAGAAAGGTTTCAGCGCAGGACGTCCCTCACAAAGACCCAGAAGAAAGTACTCCTGAGACTCGTCAAGGAAGACTAGAGCCATCTGCACCAGCTCACCGTATGGGCCAAGAGGGTTCCAAAGTGAAGGGTTCGAAATCGATAACTGCTCTAGCTTTGAGCTCAGATCACAACTTAATTGCCATCGCACTTGAGAAACGCATCAACACCTATACGCAAGTGGGCCGCGATTTCGAGCTGGTTGATGAATCAGGAGAAGAGCCATCGAATATCTTACAACTTTCCTTGGCACCAAATGCGACAAGGGCAGGAGGATACATTCTGGCTTCGATATCAGACCACGTCAAGCTTTGGTATCTCAACAACCAAGGGACATTTCTAGATCCCTCTGGTGGTCGGAAAGTCGACATTTCCCAGCTGTCGACCGAAGCAGCTAGCGGAATAACTGCGAAGCTTATGGGCGCCCATTGGTGCAAGCATAATGAAACAGCAATCTTGTCAATCCAACAGGGATTCAAAGACACATTGACTAAAGCTCTGGATATCCATACAAGCGAGCGTCAGACCAAACTGGAAGGAAATACTGCAATCTTCAGTCCGGATGGGAGATTCCTGATATGCTTCACTCAGGCTGAATTTGGTGAGACCACGAAAAGAAATCCTTCAAGGATTATAGTCTGGGATAACGTAACCAAACAGCCTCGATACGATCCACTAGGTCACTCGGACGGTATTCTGTGGGCAGGAATAAGCCCAGACTCGAAACTCATAGGAGCCATTGAGGTGAACAACACAGTCCGGATTTGGCTCGCTGATAGTGGTATCTGCAAGAATTCTTTTGCGTTCCCTCGCAATGCTGAGGCAATGAATGGTGAATTCTCCCCGGATTCCAAATATATTGCCCTTAATTTCGGTGTTATTTGTTGCCCATCAGAGATACGAATCTTTGATATCACTACAGGATCCAGGACATCCCGGTGGAAGTGTCCGGAATACAATATTGAATCTATTGCGTGGAGCCCCAATGGCAACCTACTGGCTACTGCGGGCTACTTCGGTGATGTCAGTATTTGGGATGTTACAAACGGGCTGGAAAGAATGAAGTGGGTGGAAGATCGACCTAGGGTGGAAGATGATCCGGATTCCTACTTGGCTTCTGACATACGGTTCTGCGATGGTGGAAAGAAGCTCGTCTCTGAATGGAGTGGTGTGACAACTATAGTCTGGGATTGGAGAATCCGTGTTATGAATATTTATAGCGGGTTTGCGGAGCGTTTTAGGGGACCGGTGGACTGCTCTGGATATCTTGGGTTCTTTGTTCATAGTGGTTCGACTTTGGGGTACATAAGGATTCGAGTTTGAGGCAGTGGAAGCTGGATTATGGGTATGGTTGTGTGGTGTAGTTAACTACTGTTGGGTGGCACTATTCTCTGTACTGATTTTCCTGGGAACAGAGTAGGGAGGTAACGGGGCTTGGGGTAGGAGATGGCACAGGGTTCACTATTGCTTTGCACAGCCTACCGTGTTGTTTGAGTCTGCACATAACATGCATTAACGGGTGTATCAATTTCTAGAACTACCAAAGCCATAAGAATCATTAGGGACAGAAAGTATTCCAATATCCGCTTTTGGTCTAACAAACCAATCTAGGTTCCACGCACCCATACTATCCATAGCGAGCATTCACAGGCTCATCATCGAACCAAACCGGAGGCACCCCATAATTGATAATCGTGCTCTTAACCTTTGTATAGCTTTCATACGCCTCCAACCCATTCTCCTTCCCCATTCCACTCTGTTTGAATCCACCCCACGGCGACGACGGATCATTCAAATGATGTCCATTGATCCACACAATCCCTGCCTCAATCTTGTCCGCCACTCGATGTGCCTGGTAGAAATCAGTCGTCCAGATTGAAGCCCCCAGCGCCAACGAAGACGCATTGGCAATGCGAATGACATCCTCCTCCGAATGGCACCTGATCAGCGCAATGACCGGTCCAAACACCTCGTTGCATTCCAGATCCGTCAGTGGCCGCGTCTCAATGACCGTCGGCTCGAAGTAGTACCCTTTTCCAGTTGAAGGATTGGTAGTCGCATGTCCACCACAGAGGACCTTTCCACCCTCCTGCACAGCTCTCTTCACAAACGCAGCGCATCTTTCCACCGCTGCCTTGGATATAACCGTTCCAATCTGCGTCGTGTCATCAAGTGGGTTACCAAGCCGTAACTTCTTAACCCGTTCCTTTAGCAACGCCGTGAACTCGTCATAGATATCCGTGTGAACAAGCAGCCTACTCCCCGTAACGCATGTCTGTCCACTAGCAATGAAGCTCGCAAACAGCGTCGCCTTAACCGCATCCTCAATACCCACGCCGGGGAACAAGCACACAGGTGCCTTTCCGCCTAGTTCAGCCGTTATGGGGATGAGATTCGTCGATGCAGATGGTGCAATAGCCTTGTATGTTGCTAGTCCACCAGTCAAGTCTATCTTCGCCAGCAAGGGGCTCTCACATAGATACTTCCCTGTCTCGTACCCGTATCCGCTGATAATCTGCAACACGCCATCAGGTAGCCCTGCGTCTTTGAACAATACACCCAGCCTCAGCACAGACAGAGGTGCTAGCTCCGATGCTTTCACGATGACGACATTCCCGCCTGCCAGTGCAGCCCCGATCTTCTTCATGGCGATGAGAAGCGGGTGGTTGTATGGTGTGATCAGCGCTACAACACCGAGCGGTAGCCGTGTCAGGGTGTTCACGACTGGTCCCTTGAAGGGGGTTACTCGGCCTTCGTGCACGCGTACTACCGAAGCAAAGTACTCTAGCCATTCAGGGATACGATCTAGCTGGGCGCGCATCTCGCGGATGGGACGGCCGGTTTGGCGAGTTTCCAGTTGGATGAATTCTGGGAGACGGGAGCGGAGGAGACGAGCTGCGGCCGAGAGGACGGTGAAGCGTGTGGATGGATCGGCGCGGGACCAGGAGCCATTGTTGAAGGTTTTCAGGGATTCGGTGATGATTAGGTTGACGGTCTCTTTGGGGGTTGAGTCGATGGTTGCAATAGGGAGCTCGGTGGCTGGGTTGATGACGGTGATACGTGATGCGGTTGCGGTCGTATTGGTGCCATTGACCCAGTTGGAGACGTGAGGGATTCTGGCTGTCATTTTGGAGAGTTAAATATATGGAGTAGTGTAGGGTAAAGTGGATGTGTTAAGGTTGGATGGATGATATGATGCTATATAGTATCAGGGCTACCCCGCACGCGTGCCTGATAAGCCGGACTTATCGCCGCATCTTTTCCATATCTTTTTCTTCCTCTTCCTCTTCCTCCTCAGTAATGCCACTATCACGATAGCATTGATCTAGAGATATCAGTGGGGCAGCAATCCTTTATCTGGGGTGGCCCTTGAGATAATCTTTTGGATAGGATCACATTGTTGCTTTGCTTTCCGTTCGAGCGAATACTTCCCTGACCTTCAATCGGGGTTCCTTTCCACTTCAGCGAAATAAATTAACACTTGGGTATGAAGGGGACTCCCAGTAGAAGAATCTCTCAATCCTTCCCAAGAGCTAGGCAAGAGCTGACATATATCTTGATCCAGACGGCTTCAAGGTTGCCGAGTGACTCACTCTTCCATCCGTGTCTCCACCCGATCATTATCTACTCAAGTTCAGCAGCATATAGACCCATCATTGCAACCTACTTGGCATCATACATTATCTACCATGTCTTTCAAAGACAGGTCTACATTTACATCTCGCGATACCATCACGTATCTATGGCAGGGTCTCCATCTTCCCCAAGACACCCTTGACTCTCTCTGTATCAGCGAACCTCCCAATCCCGGCTTTCCCTCCTCCTTCAAAATCGGCCATATCGCCCAAGCCTCAATTGCACTCTCTGCTCTCCTAGCATCGCAGATACATAGCCTCAGGAATAACATCACTCCTCCCAAAGTCACTGTCCCCTATGATCATGCCTGCATCGAGTTCAACTCCGCACGCCTGTACACTCTGAACGGCCAGCCTCCCTCTTCAGATTGGGGGCTCATTGGCGGTCTTTATCGATCATCTGACGGCTACGTCCGCGTTCATGATTCGTTCCCCAACCATCGCGAGGGAACAAAATCCCTTCTTGGCTGCTCTCCAACTGCAACCAGAGACGATGTTGCTTCCAAGATCTCGGCATGGCGCTCCGTGGACCTCGAAACCACTGCCGTTGATGCCAAGCTGGCTATTACTGCTCTCCGCAGTTACGAACAATGGGATGTGTTGCCGCAAGCCAAAGCCATCGCAGACTTTCCCATCCTGCTTCGCAAAATCGGCGACGCCCCGCCTGGTCTGCCCGCCCGGATCGGCCCACATGCCGATAAATGTCTGCGGGGGCTCCGTGTTCTTGAACTCTCGCGGGTTATTGCGGCCCCGTTATGTGGGAAGACACTGGCCGCACACGGGGCCGATGTGCTTTGGGTGACGAGTCCTCATCTACCAGACCTGCCAGGACTCGATCGGGAATTTGGTCGTGGAAAGAGAACCGTCCAATTCGATCTGCAAGACGAGCAAGACACAGAAGAGTTCTTCGCTTTGCTCGACGATACAGATGTCTTCATCCAGGGATATAGACCAGGCAGTCTAGCTGCCCGTGGACTCTCGCCAGAGTCGATCATGAACAGACGTCCCAATCGTGGTATTATCTACGCCAACATGTCTGCCTACGGCCCCGATGGCCCCTGGTCAGCGCGTCGAGGCTTCGACTCCTTGGTTCAAACCTGCTCCGGCATGAACGTTTCGGAGGCTGAGCACTTCGGTGCTGGGGAAGCCGCACGTCCACTTCCCTGTCAGGCGCTCGATCATGCCGGGGGCTTCTTCCTCGCGTCCGGGATCATGGCCGCGCTGTACAAGCAAGCAACGGAAGGGGGATCCTGGCAGGTGGATGTCTCGCTAGCAGGGGTGATGAAATACCTGCGCTCGTTAGGCCAATACGAAGGGAAGACGGGGTTTCAAGAATCACCAGATTATGCTCGCCCCCAAAATGTTCCGACCGAGTATTTCGAGACCCGGAGCACGGGGTTTGGGGAAATGACCGCCATTCGTCACGCTGCGAACATTGAAGGGGTTGAGATCGGCTGCGAAGTTATGCCCAAACCACTCGGCTCTGACGAAAAGCGGTGGCTGGAGCCATTGCAATAATGGAATGCATTCTAGGATATTATCTACCCCGCATCACCGAGAATGCAGAAAGTGACGACACAAAGAAAAAGCACTGGTTCCGTGGCGTGTGCATCCAAACAAAGTAATCATGCTACCCAATAGTACTCCACCACGACAGCCCAGTTCCCAAGGCTGAGGCCCAGGCCAGCTGCACGGCTGACAGAAATGGGTCAAGTTTGCTTTTGCTCCCTGCAGAAGCGGCCACTGCCCTGTGATCCGGTCACGCCCGAGGCCGAATAGACGCTCCGTAGGAAAAAGCAATGGATGGATACACAACCATTGGCGAAGGTTAAATAGCACAATGGCTCCCAGGGCTATTCGAGCGGTTCTGTGCAACTGACGCCGGTTTTCCCATCTAATATATCTAGCACCTCATCCGCCGTTCACTGTAGTATCCGCCTGGGAATTAGAAAAGCTAAGAGCGCGGATTAAGACACCATGAAAGCCATCATCATAGGAGGGGATGTTTCGGCCCTCGTGTGCGCAATCACTTGTCGTCGCGACAATCTGGACGTGATCGTGCTCGAGTCTGGTCAAGATACTGAGGTACCACGAACCTCCCATCTCCAAATGCGCCCGACCACCAATCATCAAAGATAGACTTGCTTACCCGGATATCCTTACTTTAGACTCCTCCGGGCATCCAGATCCCGCCTAACGGAACACATCTCCTCCACCGATTGGGTTTGCTCGATGCAGTTCTCGAGAAGGGGGATATCCTCCAGACGATTGATTTCCGACGATATGCCGATGGCGGAATGATTAGATCAATGCCATGCGGGGAGGAGACGTGTCGAGTATATGGAGGGCCATGGATGTAAGCTATCCTCATGATCATTTGCTCGGCAATTAGAGATGTACTGACTGTATGGAGATCAATCCATCGAGCAGATCTGCTCCAGATTCTCCGAGACAGGGCACGGAAATTGGGTACTGAGATCCGACCTGCCGCAGTGCGAGAAGTAAACAGTGAAACTGCAGAAGTAATCCTGGAAGACGGGGAGAGACTACAAGGAGATGTTGTGATCAAAGCAGATGGTAACCATTCCATCCATTCTACACAAACCCCTTCTAACCCACGATACCAGACAACACAATCAACGAATCCCCCTCACCAAGCACAACACACGACACAGAATTCATCTACCAAACGACCATCTCACGAAAACACCTCGAAGCCCTCAACAACCCTAGAATCGACGAACTCTGGCAAGGCCGCCACAGCACCACCGTCTGGCTCGGGCCCAACCAACACGCCGCCTTCTATCCCATCCGACATGGCCAAACATTCATCTTGAACATATACCATACCAGCATTGACAGCAACCCCAGCTCCACCCCAACCGCCCAGGAAATATGCACAGGCTGGGAGAGCCGGTTAGTCAACCCTCCTTTACCCTCTAGAACATACCTCAACTAATAACAACAAACCGAATACAGCCTCCAAACCATCCTCACCCTCACACCCACCCTCACACCCACCACCCTCTCCTATCAAAACCATAACCACCAAAACCCAACCCCTCCCCAATCCCTCCTAACCCACCTCCCTACTCCAACAACCCAAATCCCACCCTACCTCTTCCAAACCACACCCACAGCCATCGTAGAAGCCCTCACCCTCGGCACCCTCCTCAGCCTCTACAACCAACACACCCACCTCCACTTCCACCCCCAACTCAAACCCCCATCCCCATCCCCATCCCACTCGCACCTCCCTTCCCTCCTAACCCTACACACAACTCTCCGCGCCCCCATCACCACCTCCAAGACACAAGCTGCACTCTCCACCCTCCGCACATTCCAACTCGAGAACGGACTTGCCCAGCAAGCGCGGGACTGGGTGCTTAGCGGGGCGGGGATAACGAGAGATACGGATGGGTGGTGGAAGGTAGTGTCGGCGCGTCAGGAGGAGGTGTTGGGTAGTGGGATTGGGTTGGTGGATGAGACGGGGAGGGCGTTTTGGGAGTGGATGAGGGAGAGGGGGGGTGGGTTGGGGGATAGGGAACGGGAGGGGTCATCGTCGTCGTCTGGAAGGTCGAGTTGTGGGATTGGGGGGTCGAGGAGGAGGTGGTATGCTTGGTGTTGAGAGTGGTTCTTAGGAGGTATTGGTTGATTATGTGGGTGTTGGGGATTTGTCGTGTGTTCAGGATATGAATATAATGGGAGTATGAATTGAATGATTTAAGGTATGAGCGGACCCCAGTAGTAATGAGGTTGGGTAGTATACGCTGTGAAGCTGAAAATATGGGAATACAGTAACGGAGGCATCCTTGCGATCTGATTATATACAGTACAACGATAGCTCGGAGCATAATCGCCCAAACACACGCATGGCTGCTACTCTTGGTATATCCAACAAACAAGCAATGTCACAGAAAACACAACCCGAATAGAATTGCAGCAAAGCCAGGAGACCCAAACCTCCCTGTCTGCTTCCACTTACTAAATCATCACAAACATGCTGGCAGCCACTTAGTCCTCTTGGTAAGAAATCTTCCGCATTTCTCCCAGGCGTTGACGAGCCCGAGAGAGGTTGTTCTCCAGTTGGAGGATCTCGACCTGAAGAAGTCATTAGCATATATCAACGACAATATCAGAATTCGACGTACCTGCTGCTCCATCTCCCGCACCTTGAACTCGTGGGAGCTGAGCTTCGAGTAATCCACCGCTTCGGAATCATCCTGGTTCTTCTCCTTGATGATATCCTGCACCTGGCGCACCAAGGCTCGGCAGGCCGCACCAACAGCCTTGCTAGCAGTCTCGAGACGATCCTGCGACTTGCTCATGAAGGTAGCCTTGACACGACTGGCTGCCACCAGCTGCGCCGTACTGGCCGCCACATCGTTGGAAGCGACAATCAATTGCTCAGGGGAGTTGCGACCCGAAATGACACCATCGGCGGTCTCAATCAAGGTGTTGGTCGAGCTGGCGACTGCCTTGGCTGCTGAAATCAGACCCTCAGTCCAGCGGTTGTTCTTCTTGTAGAAAGCCGTCCGCGAAGAGCTACCACGACCCTCCCGGACAATCTCTTGCTGCGACGCGGTAGCCGCCTTGATGAGTTCGGCGATGGCGTTGGTCACTGCAATAGCAGCCGCCAGAATGACATCGTTGATCCGAAGCTCATAGGTGCTGAAGCCATCACGAGGCTTGTTCTTGAGCTTGGCCAGTCGCTGGGCTGCAGCATCGATAGCATCAGCCGCCCTGGTAAGTTCTTGGTCAACCAAGTCGCCCAGATCGCCATTGGTAGCAATCTTGGCACTCTTCGGCGCGAATGCATCAACCAGCTTCGAGAGAGTCTGCAAGTCCCTCTGCACTTCGAGGTTGTTGTTGATCACAACATCGGTCTTTTGCAGCGCCTCTAGTCCCTCGAGACGGAAAGACTGCAAGCCTCGGAAGAACCGCACTGTCGCCTGGGCGGATTTGCGAGCGGCGTTGACCAGCTGATCCGCGCTCTTGTCGTCGTTGGCGAAACGCGTCAATCCCTTGGTGTTGCTCAGCACGTCGGCCACGGAGCCAGCGAAGATGGATACAGTCCGGATAATTTCCGCATGCGTGCTGTTGGGCCCGTCCGCAATGAAGTTGTTGAAGGCCGTGGAGAATTCGGTGGCTGAGGCCGAAGCCTTCTCGATCTGCGAAAGCACATACGGCGGCGAGGCGTTCTGGTTACCAGCCTGCATGGAGGAGTCAAGCTCATACAGAGCATCATCCACACGCTGGACACCCGTCTGGAGAACCGAATCGATGATATCGTTGATCTTAGAGACGGTGCCGTGCAGAACAGTGTCAATCTGCGAGTCCAGCGCGTTATCGACATCACCTTGGCTCTGTTTGCGCCATCCGTTAGCTCGACATACCACCATACGTTTCGCGCTGATCACATACCAATTTCAGCTCCTCCAATTCCATCAAAGCCTGCTCCATTCCCGACTTGTACACTTCGATTTCCTCGTCCTTTTCGCGCAGGGCAAGGTCGTGGTCGCCTGCACGCTCCGAGGTCTTGTTGGAGACTTCCTCCAAGGCACGAGACTTGTTCTGTGTCCAGAATTAGAAACTGATCAGATGACCCGAGCAGGGAATCTTACCCGGAGAGCCTCCTCCAAGTCCGCCATTTCCCTGTTGTATTTCGACAACAGTGTCGAGATCTCCGTGCCCTTGGAGCGTTCCGCATTCTCAGCTCGCTCGAGGGCGAAGCGCAGTTCCCGCTTAACCTTCTCCAGCTCTTCTTTGTTGTTTCCGGTCAGACGGTCTCTGTCGTGCAGTGCGCGGTCTCGCTCGCGGATCATGTCGGCCAGCTCCAGGTTCTTGGTCTTGAGCTCACGCTCAAGCTTCTCACGGCGCTCAATAGCCTCCTGTGCCGATGCTGCCTTCAGCTTAAGGCTCTTCGTCGTCTGCAACAGGTCGAGGTGCTCCTGGCGGAGTTGGGAGTAAAGCTTGGCTAAGGCTTCGTACTTGGACCGCCACGTGTTAACCTGCTCCTGCAGCGAACGAATCTGCTCGTCCTTCGACGCATTCTGGAGGTTGAGGTTGGAGTTCAAGTGATTCATTTGTTCCTCCAGGTCCTTGACTCGACGGTCGTACTGCTGCAGCATCAACTGGTCACGCTCGTACTGGGCACGGGCATTCAGATTTTCCTGCTCAAGCTCGGCCAAGCGACCTTGGGTCTGTGTCTGGTACTGATCGCGCAAAAGCTGCTCCTGAGCGAGGCGCTGCTGCTCGGCCTGGAGGCGCTGTTGTTCCTCGAAGTCGCGCTGAGCCTGCTGCTGCGCGAGAAGTTGTTGCCGCTGCTGATCCTCCCATTGCTGCTGCAAGCGGCGTTGCTCGGCTTCATATTCTTCTTGCTGACGCTTGGCTTCGGTGGTCCAGAAATCACTAATAGGCTCCGGCTCTGCTGCAGTCATCTTGGGCGGGGGAGACGGCTGGGGCTCGGGTTCCTTGACCGGTCGCTTCGGCAGAGCTGGACGTTCATCGTCCTCCGA